TGGGGGCCCGCTGGCCCATGGGCATGCGGCGAACCATGCAGCGGCGCCAGGTGAAGCGGCGGCAGGAGCAGCGGCTTCAGGAGCAGGTTGGGCGATGAGTGGCGAGCAGCTGGAGCGCGTGATGGACCGCCTGGAGAAGGAGGCGTTCGCCGCTGGGGGCGCGCTCACCCACCACCACGCCCTGCGCTGCTGCCACCACCTGGCGCCCCCCGCTGCCGTGCTGGCTGCCGTCCACCACTGGCGCGCCAAGCGGCAGAGCAAAGGCACGGCGCTCTGCCGCCATTTCCAGGTGAGCCGCCTGCCCGCACCACCTGCGCTGCGCATTGTGCTGCAGCCTCTTGCCTCTTGCTGTGTGCTGCCTATGCCGCTACTTGCTGCCTGCCCTGACGGCCTAATCACCACTTGCTTCCGTGTCTCCTCCGTTGCCCATGCCCCTCGCCATACCACCCCACGCCGTACCACTCTATTCCACCCCACGCCACGCTCGCGGCACTGCAGCGTGCGCCGTGGGAGATCTACCAGGAGCAGGTGCGGGAGTGGCAGCGCCAGCTGCAGCTGCTGCAGGGGGGCGACCCCACGCTGCACACCCCCTCTCGCGCGCCCTCTCCCTCCACTCAAACGACCGGCGCTGGGCAGAGTGCGTGGGAGCAGAGGCAGGGCGGGGGAGCGGGTGTGGGCGGTGGGTCAGCGCAGGGAGACAGGGGTGCTGGGACTGACGGGCCAGCAGACGGCCAGCTGCAGCAGCAGGAGGGAGGAGTGAGGGAGCAGCAGAGAGAAGCGCGGTTGGGTGCAGCAGAGCAGCGGGGGGTGAGTGAGCAGCAGGCAGGGGCTCGAGGGGCGAGCGAGCAGCACCGTGCGTCTCACGCCGGTGCCGAAGTGGGCAGCACAGCAGCAGGCGTCTCTACTCCACTGCGCCTTGCCAGAAGCCCTGCTTCTCTCCAACCTTTCCCCTCACCGAATAGCTTTGCCACCCCTGGCCTTGCCACCCCTGACCTTGCCACCCCTGGCCTTGCCACCCCTGGCCTGGCCACCCCGACCACCCCCGGCGCTGTCAGTGCAGCGCAGCAGCACGTGCCCGCCATCCCGCGCCCGCCGCTCTTTGCCTTCTGTCTGCAGCCGCGTGCCTATGCGCGCCGGCCCGCCCTACCCGCGCGCCCGCGCTCCACCAAGCGCGCGGCGCACCTCGCCGACCACACGGGCTTGGAGCATCCAGCGTGGGGCGGCGCTGCACCCCTTGCTGGCAGCATGGACCGCAGCCCCACGGTGGCAGGCGCGGCGGCGCAGGCAGGGGTGTCTCCCGTGGGCGAGGGGCGGCAGGGGTGGCGGCGGGAGGCGCTGGAGGGACTCGTGGCGCCCAAGAGGCAGCGCAGAGTGGTGTGCCTGGCAGGTGAGGCGGAGTGGTGTGCCTGGCAGGTGAGGCGGACTGGTGTGCCTGGCAGGCGAGGCGGACTGGTGTGCCTGGCAGGATGGCGTCTCATTGGTATGCCTGGCAAGTGAGGCAGAGTGGTGTGCCTTTCCCCCGCATTGGCACGTGTCTGCACTTCACCTTCTGCCTCCTCAGCGGACGTTGAGCCCGTCTCACCTCCTTCTCTCCCCGGCCATGCCTTGGGTCGTCCGCTGCTGCCCCCTCTTGCAGATCTGCCAGGCGACGAGGCGGAGGGCAGCAGCAGGGACGGCAGGGCGGGCATGGGCGCAGAGGCAGACGCGCTGCCTGCTGGAGGGAGCGGGGGAGCGAGTGGGGTGCAGCGGGGACTCGCTCGCTCGCACTCGTCGTCTGCCCGCCTCTCGCCCTCGCCCTGGACGCGCCTCTCCATCACGTCCCCCAGATCGCCCCTCCCCCCCTCGATGCGCCTCAGCCTGCGCGTGAGCAGTGGCGAGGAAGGGCTGCTGGACCACAGGCAGCAGCAGCAGCAGCAGCAGCAGCAGGCACATGCGGGGGGCGATGGGGGGATGAGGCACCTGCTGAGGCAGCAGCAGTCAGGGCATGTGAGGGGGGCGGTGGTTGGGCCATGCAGCAGGGGGGCAGCTCGGGTGCGGGGCACGCAGCAGCGTGGGGGTCAGTGGGTGCTGTTGTGGCGGGCTCGCCTGCCCCTCCCACTGCCCCCAAGCACCTCCGCCACCCGCGCGCTGCTCCCACCGTCCCTGCGGCCCTGCATGGCCCCTCCACTGCCGTGAGCCACCAGGGTGCTGCCGTGCCCCACCAGTGTGCTGCCGTGCCCCACCAGTGTGCTGCCGTGCCCCGCGCCGCGGTAGGAGGGACGAGTGCACGGCACAACGCGGAGCATGCGCGGGGCGGGCAGGGTGGGGGAGGGAGTGGGGGCGAGGGCGAGGGCCCGCGGGGGTGGGGCAGGGCGGCGGTGCAGTCGGAGCTGCTGTCGCTGGCGCAGGGGCGCGCGGGGGTGGGGAGTGGCAGGGGCGGGGTGAGGGCACAGGCAGGGGAGTCTGGTGCAGGGGCGGCAGGGGAGGGGAGGGGTGCAGAGCAGAGGGATGAAGGCAGAGGTGAGAGTGGTGAGGGGGGGGGCAGAGGGCGCAGGTAGAGGCGGAGAGGGGCCCACTGGGAGTGCGGGCGAGAGGCAGGGCGAGGCGGAGGGCGGTGGCAGGGCACGTGCTGCGGTGGCAGCAGCACACGCAGCACGGGGGGGCAGGAGGGCAGGCGGTGGGGGGGCAGGCGGCAGTGGATGCAGGGCGTACACATGCGGGTGGAGGGGAGTCGCTTGGTGGAGGTGGGGTAGTGGGCGAGGCAGCCCCTCAAGAGGCACTTGCGCAGGCGGGCAGCAGCAGAGGCACGCGGTGGGTGGCGGGGCAGAGGGTGCTTGGGATGAGGAGAGGAGTGGAGGCAGCAGAGCCCGCCAGTAGTGCTGCCGAGGCAGCAGGGGATAAGGGGGAGGCACAGTCAGGAGTGGCAGCGGCAGGAGTGGCAGAGAGCGAGGAGGGCGCACACGTGCCGCGAGGCGCTGAGGAGGGCGCTGAGAGGGGAGGGCGGGGCGGGGGAGGGAGGGACAGAGACGGGAGCAGAGGGTGGCGGCAGGCATGTGATGGGGGAAGAGGCGGAAGGAGCGGCGTGTGGAGGCGCGGGCGTGGGCGTGGTGGGCGTGGTGGTGTACCGGCGCAAGCGACAGCGGTCTGCACGCGCAGCAGCAGGAAGGGCGGGGCAGGCAAGCAGTGGTGCTGACGCTGCCCGTCTGCTCATGCCCGTGCCCCTCACCCCGCCGCCACCACCCCCTGCCTCATCCCCCTTCTCTCCTGCCCGCCTCATGTGGCCTCGCCCGCCTCGCCCCCCTGCACTGGGCGCTGCATGTGGCGCGGCAGGGCGGCAGGCGGCAGGGCAGGGGTTGGAGGCAGAGGCGTTAGCAGCGAGGGCGTGGGCGAGGAGGGCGAGGGCGAGGGCGGGAGCGGCGAGGGCAAGGGCGAGCGAGGTGCAGCGCGTGGCGGATGCGGCGCTCGAGCGCGCCGTGCACCGCCTGGCGCTGCTCCGCGCCGCGCACGCCATGCGCACTCCCACCGCCATGCAGGCCGGCGCCCCCCCTACTCCTCCCCGGCACCATCTGCCTGCCGCGCTCCCATCCGCTCCCATAGCAGGCGGGTCAGGCGCCCATGCATGGCGTGAGCTGCCCGGCGTTGCTGCGCGCGCTGGGGAGTGCATGGACGGGCGCCGCTGTGGCGGGCAGGGCGGCACGAGTGCACATGGGAGGGAGGATGCTGGGGGGGGTGATGCAGGGGTTGCAGGGACGCTGGATGGAGTGCAAGAGCATGAGAGCATGGGCGATGCAGTGAGCCCATGTGGTGGGGCGCTGGAGGTTGCTGATGCACAGTGTGCAGCAGGGCATGTAGCAGAGTGTGCATTGGGGTGTGTGGGCGGCAGTGGGGGTAGCGAGTCACCCCGCCCTGCGTCCCTGGCGCCACCTGTGTGTGTGTCTGCTGTCTCGCATGGCCCTCTAGCCCCTCCACCTGCGACACCCGCTCGCTGCCCCTTCTGGCCTGCCACCTGTGCCTGCACCCGCCCTCACCTCCCCACACGCAACGCCCGCGCCCTTGGCTCCCACACCGCTTCCTCCGTCCTCCCCCGCACTGCAGCAGGCAGCAGCTGGCCAGCAGCGGCAGCCCGGCAACGCGGGGGCCGTCGCTCCCCTCGCCCTCCTCTGTGGCCAGACGGGCAGCCGTCACGTACCGCCGTGCTGATGTCACTCTGCGCCGTGTCTGACGTCACTCTGGGGGAGGAAGGGTGCGGGTTCAGCCCTCCTGCCCCCTTGACCACTTCCCCCTGCGGGCTGCCTCCGTCACACACGCACCTGCTGACATCACTCCTCTCGGCATGCTGACATCACCATCAGAGACCCCCTCGCTGGCAGCGATGGCCGTCCATGCCCCTGCCAGCGTGCCTCCTCCCCACCCGTCCCTGCTCTCCGCATGCTCCCTGGGCCCTCCCACGCACCCCTCTCTGCATGCTGCCCCTGCTGCGCCTGCCACGTGCCTCCCCCACACCCGTACCTCTCGCTGCACGCGGCAGCGCGTGCCGGGCAGCAGGGGCAGGCGGGGAGGAGGGCGGGGGTGAGGCGTGCTGTGGGGGCGCCTGGAGCATGGAGTGGGGAGGGCAGTGCGCAGGGTGGGAGAGAGAGTCGGAAGGTGGCGTGGTGGATGCAGCAGAGGCTGCAGCAGCAGCAGCAGGTGAGCGCGTTGGCATGCCGGAGGGGGCCGTCGGTGGGTGTGCTGGTACGACTGCGGCTGACACCTGCAAGGACGCCACAGCAGAAGAGCAGCGGACAGCAGAAGAGCAGTGGGCGGGTGTGGGTGGGGTGGATGGGATGGCGCAGCAGTCAGGCAGTGCGGTGGAGGCACAGGGAGGCAAGGCGTGCGCGGATGGGGCAGGCACACAGGCGGACAGGGCGGAGCGATGTGGGGCTCACGTGGGTGTGTGCCGCCTTGAGGGGGGGGTGGGAAAGGGTGGAGATGGGGAGGGTTGTGTGGAGCGGCATGTTGGGGGCATGTGGGGGGCATGTGGG